GTTTTATAACTCATATATAATGTTGACAAACATTTTTTTACTTAATGCTATTTTCAAATTTCAGACTAAGATAAATAACTTGTAATTACTAGTTCATAGTTGTGACTTTTTTTTATAATTACTAGTTCACAGGATTCTTAACTTATTGCCAAATTGATTTCCATACTCCACAAAGATTTTTAATATAGTACTTCAATTTTTGCTAATGTGACTTGTTATTAAGTCATCATTTATTCAACAAACTTTTACATTAGAAAGAAATAGTTACTAATGCCTACTGTGTGCTAAGCTCCCTTAAAGGCGCTAGGTACATCATTACAAATAAGCATGATTCCTACCTTACTACTCAAAGTGTGATACTGGGCTGGTATGGGAGAAACAGACATTGAAACACACAATGACACTGTGATTCAGGCTGTCTTAGAATTATGCCCAGAGTGCCATGGAAACTCAGCATACTTACAGAATAACTGTGATAATTAACCAAAAAGGGACTACTTTGCTTTGAAATATTCAAATACTCCCCCCACATTCCAACTACAGTTAACTTGGTGGTGGGTCTGTAGGGGAAATATCTTCTCTTCCTACTCCTATCAGAGTTTACCTGACTGTGACAAAAAGTAGAAAAGAAACTTTCCCTAGTTTTGATGAGTAGTAAAGTAGGTTTCAAAGTCTAGCACCATTTATATATTTCTTTCACACCTGCAAAAAATAAATCTTCTTCAAGGACACATACATTCATCCTGAATCTATAACTGAGCTTTACTTTCTAACATACTATTCTTTACGGTGGCTTAGAATACAAAGATGGTTATCTAGCCTCTGAAAACATTTTTTTTTTAATTTCATGAAACAAGTCTCCAAGTAAAATAAACCCAGCCACCACAAATAGCACTATTTTCTCAATATTTCTTAAGTGAAGAAATTCTAATTTAAAATATTTGAATTAGTCTGAAATATATGAAATTGCCCATAATTTAGTTGTTTTTAACCTGTAAAAATGGCAATTCTATATGGCTCAATATAAAGCCTGTGATTTCTTTTTGTTTCTTCTCCAGGATTGCCCATATGTTAGCCCTTATCAAAAACTGTTTTACACCAAATAATTTCTGCAATATCTTCCACAGGCACAAAGAAAATAAAAGAAAAATTATTAACATAGCTTTATGCTTGGTTGTCCCCTTCTAGTCAGATCATCAGTAAAATACAATTACAATATAGTAGTACTCAAATTAAAGAGAAAATGGTTTCCTGCTTAGTTAAGCAAAGAGAATTCTAGCCAATGCAGAATTAGAAGTCAGGAGCAAATGTGGACAAGCAGATCCAGCAAACCACCAAACTGTGATTCATCATCTCTGTTGCATGCCAGGCTGGTGTTCTCCTCTTAAGACATCAAACAGTAGCCTGATTAATACTAACGGTGTCTTAAAAGTCAAAACTACTATTAATGCAAATCTATCCTCCAGAGATGGGGGAGAGGAGGGAAAGAGAGAAAAGGGAAGAGAGCTGTAGTCTGAAATGGGTGGTGGCTTCTTTTATAGTACATTTACCAGGTTTAAATTCATATTGTAGAAAAGAAAGCTTAGTACTTTGGTAGAGGATGCTGTATGGGAAACAATGTCTCCCAGCTTAGAAAGCTGGCCTGACCCTACAAGAATGTCAGAAATCTCTGTCAATGCTAGTTCATAAGGCAATCCCATTTACAATAGCCACACAAAAAATAAAATACCTGGGAATATATCTAACCAAGGAGGTGAAAGATCTCTATAAGGAGAACTACTAGACACTGCTAAGAAATTATAGATGATACAAACAAATAGAAAAACATTCCATACTCATGAATTGGGAGAATCAATATTGTTAAAATGGCAATACTACCTAAAGCAATCTACAAATTCAATGCTATTCCTATCAAATGACCAACATAATTTTTTCAAAGAATTAGAAAAAACTATTATAAAATTCACATGGAACTTAAAAAGAGCCCAAATAGCCAAAGCAATCCTAAGCAAAAAGAACTAAGCCAGAGGTATCACATTACCCAGCTTCAAACTGTACTATCAGGCTACAATAACCAAAACAGCATGACACTGGTACAAAAACAGACACATAGACCAATGGAACAGAATAGAGTACCCAGAAATATGCCTCACACCTACAGACATCTAATCTTTGACACAGTCTTCAAAAAATAAGCAACGGGGAAAGGACTCCCTATTCAATAAAGGTGCTAGAATAGTTGGCTAGCCATATACAGAAGATAAAACAGGATCCCTACCTTTTACCATATATAAAAATTAACTAAAGATGGATTAAAGATTTAAATGTAAGACCTCAAACTATAAGAATTCTAGAAGAAAACCTAGGAAACGCCATTCTGGATATCAGCCTTGGGAAATTATATATGAATAAGTTCTCAAAGGCAATTGCCGTATAAGCAAAAATTGACAAGTGGAACCTAATTAAATGAAAAAGCTTCTGCACAACAAAAGAAACTATCAACAGAGTAAACATCTGGTTGATGGGGTCATTCATATCCCAAACCTCAGCATCACACAATATACAAAATCCCCTTGTAACAAACCTGTACATGTATCCCCCGAATCTAAAATAAAACTTGAAATTATATTTTTTAAAAAGCTAGTTCATAGTTGTAACTACTTTCTAGAGTCTTGCTACTTTTAGGGTAATCACTGCTCAACATCACTAATCAGCAGAGAAATGCAAATCTGAGTCTGTGTTTCTTGAACTCTTGGGGTCTGGTTAAATGCAGATTGTGATTTAGGAGGTCTGGGGCAGAGTGAGATTCTGCATGTCTCACTAGCTCACATGTGATGCAATGCTGCTGGTGGCATCATACTTCCATGTGATGAGGTTTCAGTAGAGCATCCTTGTGATGGCCTTGGCTCCTCTTTTCTAAATTGTGAGTCTGACCCTGTGGGTCACATATTGAGCATTGATGAAGAGGCCTCTGGTCCAACTCAGTGTCCTTGACCTCTCCTTGTTTGACTCTCCGTCTGCAAAATGGGATTAGCAAACCCATGTAGAGAGTCCACTGAATGGCAGAATCTTAGACTTTTCAGTTAGAGGAAACTTTGGAGATGATCTGATCTCACTTGTTCCCCTCCTCCCTGCATCACATCTTATGTCTGAAAGCCCATGCCTGAGATCCCATTCACTGAGTGTGCAGTTGTTAGTCTCATCATTCCATCAGACCTAAGAAAGCTCTGCAGAATAAGGGCCTGTTGAAAATGTTTTCAAATACCTGAAAATAGTGAGAACAAACAAACAAACCCCACCTTAATGAGGAATTTTCTCTTTTGGCATCAGAAAGCAATTAAAAAACTCAGCATTTCTAGGTGAGAAGCTTTAGTAGTTCCCCTCTTGTTCTTTCTCCCCACAGCAGGTGCTAAAGCACAACTCAGTCTTGATTCATCCCCTCTGTCAAGAGCAGGTGTCAGCCTCAGTTATTGTTCGGCAAATTCATTTCAGCCCTTTAATGCCTTTAATGCAATTCCTGGAGAATGGGGTATCGATTCCCAATCTCAGCTGTTTTTCCTGAAGCCTATACCACATTGGCCTTCCTGGTCTCTTTCTATCCCCTCTCTGTCACATTCCCCCCCTTCTCTTCCTGGAATGCATGCCACATTTCTGGTCAGTGTTCTATAATAAACCCATCTGTAGTTCTCAAAAAAGAGGCATAATAAAGGCATTGTATGAATATGTTTGAATGAGAAATTCGTGAAAATCATCCATTTTTATTTACAGTGAAAGACTTAATTTGGATAGAATGTGATATGAATCAAAGGTAACTATGCCTCTGGAGGCACTATGAAAAAGGGGGTGTTTTAGTTTCATGAATTTGCTCTTCTGTTCTGTGTATATTGCTGTAGCACCATTTTTCAAGTCCTCTTCTTAGTGTCTCAAGCCAGTAAATGTCACACCTCATATGTGTGAAGACAATTTATTGTGCAAACCAAGGCACTTCTGAGAGTAGACTGGGCAGCCATTGGTAATTGTGCTCCTGTGTCAGGCATGCATTGGGACTGTCTCAGTAAACAGATACACACGGTCATCCTAATTACAGGCATTTTGGGATATGGGACTCAGTGACAGTTTGGTATTGGGAGGTGAATCTGTTGAAGAAAAAAAGCATGAAACATAATTAAACAGGCAAGGAAGGCATTATTCAAGACTACTGCAGCAGGGGAGAGATTAATCGTGACTCTGGATATAGTAGGGACAGCTGGGGATTTATAGCCAATGGACAGGGTGAAGGGGTCACGGATCGGAAATTACTAAGAGGATTTGGTTGGGTATCAAGGGTGAGGGGATTCTTGCTGAGCTGGGCTCAGCAGGCCAGGACCAGGCCTAGTCAACAAGGGGCCTAAGAGGAACATGCTTAAAGTTTGGTCAAGGAAAAAGTCCTTGTTGAATCTCACCAAATAAAATGCAGATTTTAAAATTTAGTCTTAATCAAAGAAACTGAATAGTTTCCCAGTCATGGGAACTCATCCTTGCTTTGAGAAATTCTTCCAACTTTATATTTTTTTCTTTGTGATTTTTAAAGACTTTTCCTTTGTAAATCTAGTTATTCCAGTTATGCTTGATAAAGAAATTGTTTTATCTTCTGATTTTTTCTTCTACTTCAGTAAAGCTGAGGTGAAACTGACTCTTCAGAAATGAAAAAAAAAATGTGGCTTGAATTGATCAAGGAAGCACAATTGTAATTCATTCAGGAATGACTTCATCAAGTGGGCCATGTTTCATGACACATTGTTTAGTGAGGCTTAGAGAATAGAAGGGAAAGCAAGGGGTTTATTTGTATGATTTGTACACATGTCCATCACAGTGGAGGCTCAATGAAGGATCTGCTGCTCCCGGTAGCCCAGTGCTCACTACTAGGCAACTCTTCTCCCTCTGAGCATTGGTTTTCTTGTCCATAAAATGAAGGCGTTCAATTAGGTGAGCTCCTTGTTACCGTACAGGGATTTTTAAAAAATTTTATAGTTCTGATCTTAAAAATCACTCTGTCCCTCTCTGGATTATGCTTCATTACTATAAAATATCCATCTTGAACCCATTCTAAAGGATTGAATATGAGCAATGGTAAGTCAATCTGAAAATGATTTAATGTAGAACCTGTGTCTGAAAAAGCTCAATTTTCTCTCTGTATATTTTATGATATAACACATCCAAGGAGATGTATGCAACAAAGTTCCAGCAGATTTATTAATAAAAGCATGTGTGTTGGGAGAGGGGGATCAGGAGAGGAATAGAAACAACCTGAAATATACTTCAGCAGGAGAATGAATACAGAAATAATGATGGAATGACTCACAGTGAAAGTCAATCAGCTATAGAATCAAAGGACATAAACATCAACAATTTTTCGCAAAACCAAGAAAAAACTTACACCATTTACTTAAAGTGTAAATGGTATAAGTACTACTACTTATACTACAAAACAGTACTACTGCTCATTTCTAAGGGATACATACTTGTGTATGTATAGTAAAAGTATTTTTTAAATTCTTGGTGGTGATAAACACCAGGCTTAGAATAGAGGTTCCCTCTGCAGGTGGGAAGGGATTATGATTTGGGAGGGGAATTCATGGAACTTCAGCTGTATTTGCTAATGTTTTATTTCTTAAACTGGGAGTTAGATATATGGGTACTCATTGTATTATACTTTATGCCTTTTCGTATGTCTTAAAATATTTTATAGCAATCCTATTATAAAGTCAGGATGATCATAAAAAGACATTGCATATCTTTGTTTGTAAATTAGAAACACTCAGTCCCCATAGTTTAGTGGTAGCAAAGCTAATGTGAATTTAAAATCTTCTTACGACCTGCCCTGCAGTTATAATGTACATACATCAAAAAACAAAACTTCCAGTGTATACACTGGTGAAATAACCGCTAGTCAGATACCAGTCTCTTGAGTTATTACTACTTATATGTGTAATAGCTATTGTGATTTATTTAAAATTTATACTGTGTGAGAGAAGTTTATGAAAACATACAGGTAGTTAGCTATAAAGTTGTGATTGGAGGCCAGATTGATAAATGAGCAGTTTCCTCTGCAAAGAAGTGCAAACTCAGCTATGTGCTTTCAGGTGGTCTAGACAAGAGGAGAAACCTGCCTACTGGTTTCTCAGTAGATGACTTTATGACAAAGTTGGAATTGTCATGAAAAGACCTGTTTAGAATTTGTTTATGGATTAGAAACAGAAGCTCTAATCTACAACTCTTAGTAGGAGAGCTGGATTTTCCTTGGCTCTAAAATTTGGGGAAGAATTAATCACAAGAATCCTTATGTAGTGGGTACTGAGGCATTTTGAGTGGTGCTTCTGTTGATTTGCCCTTGCCAGCAGCTCCTTGCTATTCATCCATTTCACACAGCACCCAGAGTGATTGTGCTGTAACAGAACTCATATCAATTCTTCAGAAGCTTCCCATTGCACACATGGTAAAGTCAAAACCCCCTTACCTGACCTTCAGGGTCCCTGCTCCTGCCTGACCATTTCACCTCATCTCTTACCATTCTTCTCTTAATTAGGCTCCACCCACTCCTGTTGGTGTTTCTTCTCTACAGAGCTTATGAGATCTGGGCATTTCCTCTTCTCTCAGTTAGGAATGCCCTTCTCCCAGGTCTTGGCATGGATAACTCATCTTTATCATTCAAGTTTCCATTCAAATGTCATTCTCAGCCCCACCCCATCATAGAGGCTTTTCTTAATGAGCAAAAGTAGCCTCACTACCACCACCTATACTATCCCTAAACTCAAGGCAAGAAGGGTGCTCTGGGACCTGTGCTGTAGAGGGGTACCCTCCAGCCACATCCCTTCCCATGAAGCAAGAAGTTTATGGGGCAAAGGGGACTTGCATACCCAGAGCTTGCATTTCCTCTACTAGGCCATGCCCTGCGCCATGGCTTGAATGTGACCCCTTGAAAATTCATGTTGAAACTTCATCCTCATTGTGGTAGTATTAAGAGATGTGACTTTGGGAAAGTGATTAAGTCATGAGGGCAGAGCCCTCAGGAATGGATTAACAGCTTTACAAAAGAGGCCTCAGAGAGATAATTGGCCCCTTTGCCCTTCTGCTTTCTTCCCCTCAAGAGGACACAGCAAAAAAGTACCATCTTGGAAGCAGAGAAAGCAGCTCCCACCAAACTTGCCAATACCTTGACCTTGGACTTCCCAACCTTCAGAATTCTGAGAAATATATTTCTAATATTTATAAATTACCTAGTCTATAGTGTTTTGTTTAAGCAGCACAAGCAAACTAAGACACCTTGCTTACCCAGGATTCCACAGGTCTCTGCCCACATGGACCTATGCCCATTTCTAGAGTCTGTGAGCCTCTGCCTTGGTTCCCATTCTCTGTTGTCGGTTGCGGACCCCTAAGCCCAAGGGTGGTCACACAGTGGCTGTTAGCAGAAGGTATAGATAAATATTAGACAGAGGCCTATAGTATCATGTGTGTACAAGAACTTCCTCTCAATGGGAGCTGGAGCCAGGCTGAGAATAGACAGGCACAGGCCAGGAGGCGGGGATCAGGGACCCAAGGGCTGGCTTGCACAGCTCTTCCACATCCCAGTGCAGAACTTGGAGGAGTCTGAGAATCCTGAGTGCAAACTTGTTCTTCCAGGTGTTTGAAAAGTTGATTTGTCAAGCTAGAGAGTAGATCGTATTTTATTAAACAGTTTGTTAGCTTGATTCACACTCTAATTATTTATACATATGTGGATCTCCATTTATACTCTTGCTGCTCTTACAAATGTTAGTGGCAGGCCTGGCTTCCTCTGCATTTGAGTCAGTCCAGAAGATGGTGGTTCAAATTCCAGGGCCTGGTGGTAAAACAAACAGTGGGGTTCTGTGCCAAATCCCTTAGAAATATCTTTTTTGCCACCCACCTTGTTGGGGATTCCAGACTTTCTTCTCAACAGTCCTGTTCTCTACTCTCTCTCCTATTTCCCTGTTTTTATTTTGTAGCACTGAAAAAAAATCTAAAATTACCTTGTTTACTTGTTTAGTATGAGTTCTGTGAGGTCAGAGGCTTGTGGCTACATCTGCAGCATGTGGCACATACTAAGTGCTCATTAAAAATTTGCTTATAGCCAGTAATGGTGCCCCATACCTATAATCCTAGTGCTTTGGGGGACCAACATGAGAGGAATGCTTGAGGCTAGGAGTTTGAGACCAGCCTAGGAAACATAGCAAGACACCATCTCTACAAAAATATTTTTTTAAGAATTAGCGGGGTTGTGATGGTGCATTCCTATAGTCCCAGCTATTCTTCAGGCTGAGGTGGGAGGATCACTTAAGCCTGGGAGTACGAGGTTGCAGAGAGCTATGATCGCGCCACTGCACTCCAGCCAGGGTGACAGAGCAAGCCCCTGTCTCTAAAAATAATATAAATAAATTAAAAGAATTTGTTGAATGTGTCATGACAGGAATATTGTTTAAAAATTTTTGCTGAATGAATGACTTAGGTGCTATTTTGTGCCAGGACTGTGAAGAGTCCAAAGATAGCTCAAACAGGTCCTCTGCCTTCAGGGGTCTCCAAGCCTAGTGGGGAAGCAATCCTGAAAACAAACAAAAGGCTTCTGCTTTGAGTTTTACACTTCTCACATCATTAATGAATCTAGAAACAAAAATATATATATAGCCATTATTGTAGCACTTCTAGGCAAACAATTTGCAAAGTAAATAAGCTCCAGAGAAAGGGAAAAATACTTTCTGTTATTTTCTCTAAAGGGTTAGGGGTAAGAGAGCTTTTAAACTTGATGACCCATCAGAACTGGTGGAAAGTGTTTTTTCTCCCTCTTCCTGAAAACAAATTGCTTGTTTTTCTAGGAGGAGGGGGGAACACGTTAAACATTTTCTGCTGTTAAGATAAAATATTGTTTAGAACAGGAGGCTAAAATCTCCTCAGCTGCTGCTGTCTGCCTTATTTAACTTACATGGCAGACGGTGGCATCTGCTGAACAACACTGTGTTGGCGCTTACCTCCTCCAAGGAGCTGAGGGCCTCTGGAGTCAGCCTTCTCAGAGGCCTCCATGGGCAGCAGGGCGGCCAGGGCTTCCAGCTGCTCTGGGCAGACTTCAATTTCATTCCAGATGGCCTGGGTGTGCAAAGTGTGAAAGAAGAAAGGCAGAAACACTGTCCCTTCTACATAGAATTCCTTTTTAGAAAATAAGGCTTTTTTCTAATCACCCAGAAATATAAGAGGTCATTTTTATCTAGAGATGATTGTGCAGGCCCCATAAAGCCAATTCATTTGAAATGAGGATGAAAATATCATAAGAAATACTGAAAACCATACTTATTTGAAGTTTTATCTTGAAAAACAGCAGCTATAAACCATAAAAGTGATCTCAGGGCGTATAAAATTAGGTTATAATTTTACTATGTGCTAATTCTTAGAATACTATGGGATGCATATATATTTTAATAAAATTGTATGATATCACCATATTCCTTCCTATTTGACTTTCAAGATATGTACTCATTCATCCAACAAATATTTATTGAGTACTTACTATGCACCAAGCGCTGTTCTAGGCAGTTGAATCAATTTAAAAAAGAAAAAGAAAATATTTCCTGTTCTTATGGACCTTATATTGTAATGGGTGACTGATAAATCATAAAATATTAGGGAAAAGCAGATCATGCTGGAAAGTAGCAAGTACTAAGAAGAAAATACAAAAGCAGAGATGGTGAATAAGTAGTACAGAATATTGGTAAAGACTACAGTTTAAAGAGGGTGGTCAGGATATATCTCTCTGAGAAGACGGCATGGTGGCTGCTGAGCCCACAGAGTGTAGGTTAGTGAGGGTAGAAGCAGGAAACTTATTGAGAGGTGACTGAAACAATCAGGTGGGTGACAGAGTAGTAGTGGAAATGGTGGGAAGTGTTGGGATCCTGCTTACATTTTTAAAATGGAGCTGATAGGTCTTACTAATTGATCTGATTATGAAAGACACTAGACTACTAGAATGTGAGAGAAAGAGAGGCATCAAAAATAACTCAGAGGGTTTTGACCTGAATAGGAACTGACATGAACAGAAATGGGGAAGACTGAGTAGTGTTAAGATATTTTAGAGGGAAGAATAGGAATTTGACTGGACACAATAATTATAAGATTATTACCTACTAGACAGCCACAAAGAAGTCTCAAGTAGTTAGTTGAATACATGAGTCTGGAGTTTAGGAGGGAAGTGACAAGTGTGATAGTTTAACGGAGGATTTAAAGCCATGAAACTAGATGACCCACCTTAGGAGAGAATGTGGATAAAGGACAGAAGAAGTCTAGGGATCAGGGAGATATGGAGGAGCAAACATAGTAAAATCAGAGAAGATCATTTTGGGGAATATATTAGAGGACTTTGTTGATTTTCTCAAAGTCTTCTTCCAATTTCCTAAAATTTAAATCACCCTATTTGAAGAGTCTGTTGCCACTGTTACTGATTTTTCAGTTTTTCAGTAGTTACTTGACCTAATGCTCAGGCCCTTTCTTATCAATGACAGCACAAGTTTCCAATATGATTTTCATTACTTAGTCCATTTTGTGTTGCTATAACAGAACCCTGCAGTCTGAGTAATTTATAAAGAAAAGATATTTGTTTCTCACAGTTCTGGAGGCTGGGAAGTCAAACATTAAGTTGCCATCATCTGGTAAGGGCCATCTTGCTGCATCATCCCATGGCAGAAGGCAGAAGAGCAAGAGAGAGGGAGACAGGGGCAAAATCATCCTTTTATCAGGAACCCATTCTTCCAATAACTAACCCACTCCCACAATAATAGCATTAATCCACGCGTGAGGCAGAGCCCTCAAGACCAAATTGCTTCTTAAAGTTCCCACCTCTTAACACTGCTGCAATGGGGATTAAGTTTCCAACACATGAACATTGGGGGACACATTCAAATCACAGCACGCACCATGTGAAACCCTGCATCTACAAGTTTTGCAATGCCATTTTAATGAAGTCAGTTTACTTTGCATTTTCACTTTGTGTTTGCCTTGTCACAGCTCACCAGTAACAGAACTCTTAGTGTGATGGGCAGAGATAGAAACTAGCATTCAGCAAAGAGGGTGGACTAATTTTATACACAACCATTTATCAGTGAATATTTTTAAGTTCTGATGCCCTAAAAATCCTTGTAAATTTGGGGGCTTGGGTAATGAATATTAGATGATAATGACCTTCTGTGTATCCATTAAACCATTAGCAATGTTTCCAGGTTGTTGAGAAATCATAGATATTAAAAATCAGCTTAGAGATTGTTCCAGAAGTTAATATCTTCATTTATAAAGGAAAACAGTGACTGGCCTGGAGAGCTGAGTGACTAGACCACCCTCTAACCCCCCATGTAGTGCCATTAGCATACTTAACATCTGTCCCTCAGTTTCCTCAACTGTAAAACAGGAATTATATTGCATACCTCATATGATTGTGTATGTAACACATAAAATAGATATCAAGTGCTTGCCATAAATTTGTGTGTGTGTGTGTGTGTGTGTGTGTGTTGCTCTGTGGCCCAGGCTGGAGTGCAGTGGTGCAATCTCGGCTCACTGCAGCCTCTGCCTCCGGGGTTCAAGCAGTTCTCCTGCCTCAGCCTCCCAAGTAGCTGAGACTACAGGCGCACGCTGCCATGCCTGGCTAATTTTTTTATTTTTAGTAGAGACAGGGTTTCACCATGTTAGCCAGGATGGTCTCGATCTCCTGACCTTGTGATCCACCCACCCTGGCCTCCCAAAGTGCCGGGATTACAAGTGGGAGCCACTGCACCCAGCCTTGTTTTTTTTGTTTGTTTGTTTGTTTTAATACCAAGTTCTGGCCAGGATATGAAGCTAGTAGAACTGTCATACACTGCTAGTGGAAATGTAAAATGGAACAGCCACTTTGGAAAACAGTTGAGCAGTTTCTTCACACTTGATCTTAGCCAAAAGGCTGAGAAGCAATAAGCAGTGTCTTATCAAGTTAAATATACACTTGCCATACAATCCAGAAATTCTACTCCTAGGTATTTATCCAAGTGAAATGAAAATATATGTCCACACAAAAACCTACATATGAATACATACAGCAACTTTATTCACAATCTTCAAAAATTGGGAACAACCCAAATAATGGTCAGCTGTGAATGGATAAACCAACTGCAGCACATCCATACAGTGAAACACTGATCAGCAACTAAAACAACAAATTATAATACACACAACAGTTTAGATGACTCTCAAAAATGCTATGTTAGTGAAAGGCACCAGTTCTTAAAAGCTATATTCTGAAGGATTCCATTCATACGACATTCTGGAAAAGGCAAAACTGAAGGAACAAAAACAAGTTAGTCATCACCAAGGGGTAGAGGGAGGATTTAGTTACAAAAGGATATGAGGGAATTTTGGAGTGTGATGGAATTGTTTGTGTCTCAGTTGAGGTGTGGGTTAGGTGACTGAATGAGTTTGTCAAAACACATAGAGCTATACACTTGAAAGAAGAACTTTTGTTATATAGATATTTTTTATCAATTTAAAAAATATATAAAAATAAGAGGGAATTCCACAAAGATGAAATAAAAACTAAACATTCCTGGTACTTACTAGACTCTTTAAAAAGTCTTCTTCTATTCTCCCCTTCTTTCTCTGAGCAAGAACTACTCATGACTGAAAGCTCTTAAAAATAATTTTCTTACTCAGATATTATTTTTAAAAAGAGTGAAATTCATGACTTACAAAATATTTTCTTCTGGCTTTTGAGTCATTTTTACCATTTTTTCAACAAATAATTATTGATTACCTATAAGCAGATACCTATAAGCAGATGTTTTTCTGAGCTTTCACTTACAACTGAATCTGAACATTTAGAGCTGAAGGAATCCTTAGAAATCATTTAGTCTATGTGGCAGATGAAGTAACTGAGGCTCTGAAAAGTGAAAGTCACTCACCCAGTGCTACGCAGAAAGTTTGTAGCAGAATCCCAGCCAGCACTTAGAGTGTCTCATGGGGCTTCAGTCTTTTCACTGTGCTCAGCTTTGCAGCCCCTGAACTTTATGCTGAGAAACTAATAGCTGCTTTGAGAAGTGATTTCTTCAGCTGTATGAATGTACCCTTTAGTGGTGGGATTTACAAAGTGTGATGGGGGTGCAGGGAAATCTTTGGGACAAGACATTGTATCCTGAGCTTCTGGAAACTCACTTCACAAGCTGCTTCCCTTCCCTAAGAGGAGTCCTTCTTTCTTACAGTACAACAGGAACAACAGAGACAGATTGCATGGAAAAATCACTAGTAGGTACCTGGAAGTGGCAAGATCCTTCTCCTATTACCATCAGGGCTTTGCTTTTACCCAAGAGAAGTGAGGGCCTTCTTGAACTGGTGTAGGTGGAGCTCCCTAATAAAACCCCAGGATAATGAAAGGCACTCCTGAAGTGTCATCATTTAGGCTAATACATAAAAGGATGGATAACCAAAGGGTAAGAGCTGGTAAATCCCAAAGGCATGAGCAATGCAAATTGAGGGACATTCTAGCATCCGAATCATTGAAGGAAACTAAAGAGACATGACAAGTAAATGAACTCATAATTATTTTGAATGCTTTGTTATAAGGCAGTGTTATTAGACAACTGAGGGAAATCTGAATGTTTCTATATACAAGATAACAGAATCAGATATATCAATGTTAATTTCCTGATTTTGGTGGCAGTTCTGTGGTTATGTAGGAGTGTTTTTATTTGTAGAAAATGTATGAAATACATTTGTATGAATAAAGTACATATCTGAAGTACAAAATGTACATTTTGTACATTTCATACAATGTATGAAGTACAAATGTATGAAGTATAAGTGGGGGACACCGGAGTAGCAACTTTTTCTCAAAGACTAGGGGACAAAAGAGTTCTTTATACTACTCCTATAATTTTTCTCTAAGTATGGGATTGACTCAAAATTAAAATATTTAAAATGTAAGGACATTTTCTTTTTTTAAATTATATTTTAAGTTCTGGGGTACATGTGCAGAACGTGTAGGCCTGTTACACAGGTATACATGTGCCATGGTGGTTTGCTGCATCCAACCCCCTGTCATTTACAGCATTTCTCCTAATGCTATCCCTCCCCTAGCCTCCCACCCCGACAGGCTTCTGTGTGTGATGCTCCCCCCCCTGTATCCATGTATTCTCACTGTTCAACACCTACTTATGAGTGAGAACATGTGGTGTTTGGTTTTCTGTTCCTGGGTTAGTTTGCTGAGAATGATGGTTTCCAGATTCATCCATGTCCCTACAAAGGACATGAACTCATCCTTTTTTATGGCCACATAGTATTCCATGGTGTATATGTGCCACATTTTCTTTATCCAGTCTATCATTGATGGGCATTTGGGTTGGTTCCAAGTCTATGCCATTGCAAACAGTGCCGCAATGAATATACGTGTGCATGTGTCTTTATAATAGAATGATTTATAATCCTTTGGGTATATGCCCAGTATTGGGATTGCTGGGTCAAATAGTATTCCTATGTCTAGATCCTTGAGGATGCCACACTGTCTTCCATGTGAGGACATTTTCTATATTATCCTTATAAAACTAAGCAGATATGGCTCTATTCTTTAGAGCCCCTTTGAGATAGAGATAGTCTATAATTGATGGGCAAATAAGTAGATGTGATAAAATGTATTTTTTTAAATAAATGAAAGGTAAGCACAGCAAGAGTTGTAAGTAAAGGAATTTGGAGGATTCGAGATTGAGTTTGGGGGAAGTGGGCAGGGGAGAAAGGAAGAGCTTCCTCGGTGTTTAATAGTTTTCATCAGCAGGGGAGTCAGCCAAACATATATTCGGGATTTGCCTCCAAGCAGTTCAAATTCTGGAACCTTAGGAAACCTTCCTTTAGGACTCCTATGTCCAGAGACCATAATCCAGCCCAAAAAACACTGTTCTGAGAGTCCTGAAACCTGGACTCTAGTCCTATTTGTCCCCAGCTGCCAATTCAGTCTTGGGCAAAACAGCCTGTAAATGAAGCATTTGGACTAAAAATGGTGTTTGAGAATCCCTAAAAAACTTAAAAGCCTTTTGATTTTTGAACAAAATGATAAAATTTAGAAAGGAAAGGCAGCATAGAAAGAAATAGATGGAAAAAATTGAAAATATAAGTTATTTTCATTTGAGATACCCAATAACTAAAGGAATAGTTCCTGCCATCCCACTTCCTTCTCTTTGAAAAAAGAAATGTAAGAACTCTTTTAATTTGAACAGCACAGAGAACACTGCCCTCCCTTCTCACATCTTAGATAACAGCAAGAGAGCTCTCTTAAATAGAATGTTCTATTTATGAATCCTAAAAATTCAAATGCATCATTGCAGAACCATTATAGCATGTTTTCCAAATATTAGAATAAATTTACACTGTAACATTCCAAGGCTGGAGCACCTATCACTTTGCTGTCAGCCTAAAATGACTTTGTTTATGCCATTACTGATTTTGTTTTTGATCCATAATTTATTTAGAATGTATTATTTTAAAATTTACTCACATGTAAATGTTTAATCTTTATTTTTGTTACAGATTTCTAATAATTTTATTGTGGTCAGACACTAGAGTTTATATGAAACCAATTATTCAGCATTCGTTGAGGCTTAAATTGTCTAGCACACAGACAGTTTTCGCAAATGTTACATGAGAGCCTGGGAAGAATGTCTTTTCCCCAGTTGTCAGGGAGGGGAGAGCTCTCTGTGTATTTACTAAGTTCAGCTTATTAAGTATGTTATTAAGATATTTTCTATCATTACTAATATTTTGAATGTTTCAGTTATCAATAACTGAGCAAGTTATATTAAAATCCAACATTGTGAACATGTATCTGACAGTTTCTTTGTAGTGCTTTCTGTATTTTGATTCTATTTTATTAGATGCATGCTCATTTAGAATTATTTTCTTCTTTGTGAATTGAATGATTATGTAATGACTTTATCGCTAATAATGCTTTTTTAACTTAAGATATATTTTTATCATATTACTATGGCTACCCCAAATTTCTTCTGGTTATTATTTGCTTGGTAACTTTGTGAAAAATTATTTTACTTTCAGTCTTTCAGTGCTCTCACGTTTTAGGTGTATTTCTTGTAACAATACCTAGCTGGATTTTTTTTTTAGTCAGTGAGTCTAGTCCATCTATATTCACTGTGATTATGAATGATGGTAAGTATTTAAGTCACAATTAAAATAATCCTTTTAGAAATGGTTAGCTTTGACATTATATTAAACCAACAACTGCACTCAGGATCCTGCCCAGGGTGAACTGAGCAGGAGGGAAGTGCCACTGACAGAGGCCTTCAAGGCACATGCCACATCTGGGCAGGCTGAATACTATGGGAGCGTCTACCAGTGCACCTGCCTGCCTCTGCAGAGAGAGCTGTTCTGTCTTTGCCCACCTGATTCAGAGACAGCCAACTGAAACATTACATATGGGGAATTTTAAACCTCTATCTGTAAAATGTAACATTAGTGAAGATTCCCCATGCTTGCTAGCATCAAATAAT